TCACACACCCTACCTTCTGTAAGTGCCTCTAAGCAAACCAAGCTAATTCCGAAGTGAACTGGCAGAGAACCTCAGCTTTTCATGAAAGGCAAAGTTACAGAGAAATAAGTTTTGCAGTTACCTGGACTTTAAGGGATTGCAGAGTTTTTACATAGGCACATAAAGGCACAGATGTAGAAACTGAAATGGGAAGGAGAGAGAAAGGAAAGAAAAAGAAAGAAGGAAAGAAAGAGGAAACAAAAAGAAAGAGAAAAAAGAAAGAAAGAAGAGAAACAGGAAAGGAACAGCGAAAAGAGAGATACAAAGAAATACAAAGAGAGAAAGAAGAAAAACAGAGAAAGACAAAGAGAGAAAGAAGGAGACAAAGAAAAAGAAAGAGAGAGAGAGAGAGTTACCCAACTTTTTAAAAGAATAAATCTGAAAAGTTAACCCCAAAAACTAAAAGCACAACCGGTCTGGATTATCTAACACTCCCCGCCGCCTCGTCAAGAGTACATAAACAAATATTTGTCAACGAAATTTCTTCTCGATAAGATAGGTTTCCTCTCTTGCTTTCCCAGGGAGGCGGGCGGGGAAAGAGTGGGCTACAAGGCCACGGGGGGGGGGGGGGGGGGGAATATCCGCTGCTTGGTTTTGAGAATGATTCTAACCAGAATTTCGACCGTCCCGCTTTTTCCCGGCCCCTCAAAGAAGCGCCGGTGTGGATCCGAAGGGCGCGCGCAATTCAGTGGAGGATGGAACCAGGGATGGGGTGGAGGGGAAGATTTAATAGTATTATTATTTCCTCTGATATTGACAAGCGTCGTCCGAGTCTTCACGATATAGCCAATACTTTTTTTCCCCCCTCCTCCAAGGTGGGAATTGCTCGAACCTGGCGCTGATCCAGAAGCCGGGTTTAAAGGTTGTGTGAACGGTCCGCTCCTTCCTTGGGGTTGACCCTCCAGAGTTTTGCGGAAAGGGGCCGAAACTCCGCTCTTGACTCCCCGCAAGATTTACAGCCCTCTTTTCTCCGCCCCTGCTTGGCGGAGGCTCGTGAGCTGTATAAATATTTTCCCTTAATCATAAATACAGATGAAGAGAAAAAGAGGAGAGGCCGGATAGAAGGTTGAAGTTATTTTGATTTCTATTCCCCGGTAGAATTTTATTTTTTTTAAAAAAAACAAAAACAAAAAAAAACCTGCTAGTAAATTAACTGTTGAACTGCCTCGATTAACTTTGTAGCTCTGTCCAGACCCCTGGTTTTACTGATTTTTTTTTTTTTTAAGAATCCTTTTATATACACAGACCAAACTTGCAAAAAGTTAAGAAGGGGGAAATTTTGGTTTGAGCTTTGAATAGCGCTTGTCTTGGTTTTTTGCAATGCAAAAGGCTTGTGTTTTTTTTTGGGGGGGGGGAGCACAGGGGTGAGTGGGGGCAAGAGTTTTGGAAAGGGCAGGAGAAGATCAACAAGTAATGGAGACAAATCGGTTTTGTGTGTGATCCCATTGACGTCAATGAGCCGGCCACTTTCCTCTACCCAGCAAGTAAATGTGGTTTAAACATAGGCAGACGCTTGCCCCCGTGCAAATCTGGGTGAAACTTGCACCCGATATAAGCCCTTTCAAGCTTCGGCCTTCATTGGCGTCAGTAGGATTTACTTCTGAGTAAACACAGGTCTGATTGTAGTGGCACCACCTGCTTTCAGGTCCACTTTAAATAGTAGGAGGAGCGGGGGAAATTTATCTTAGCTCCCTTCCCAAAAAGCAAAGGAATCCAGGTTCAAAAAGATTCAAAAAGATTGGTGGAAACGTTTTGGACACAGGCCCCCTCGAGGTACATCAGTTAATCCTCAAAGATGCAGCCATGAAAAGAAAATACAGTAGGTTGAAATTGCAACTTTAAAAGCAACTTTCTTTTGAATTAGGAAGTGGGGGGGGGGGAGATTACAGGAAAGTGGGAAAGCCTTTGAACCATTTCCACAAATCTATTTATTTCTGTTTTGGTTTCAACAATGCTCGGCACTAGATTTTGAACCTGTAAAAATGTCGGACTCAATATTCCAAGAATAATAATAATAATAATAATAATAATAACCTGCCACAGAATATCCCAGATTTAAACAACTGTCAATAAGGGGGGAAAAAAATGTCTGGATAATGGTTGTGGCAGTACCTTGGAGACAGCAGAAGTAAAAAGAAAGAACCAGGGAAAAGTCACAAAATATACCAAGAGCTGCGCATAGAAGTGGAAGGACTGTGACAAAACAAAGCAAAGACAGACCCAATAGGGATAAGCAACTTGGGTGCGACCCCAAAATATCTGGAGCAGCAACTGAACACTATCCCCATCGGTCAATTGCAAAGGGCATCTTTAGTCCCGAACAGCTTAAATCCTCAAATTTCTAACACCTTCAAATATTCACATCTGCCTATCTTAGGTCCTTGGGAAGGACTGGTGAACAAAAAATGCCAAATCCGGACTAAACATCTGGCTGACCATGCAACCAACCATAATATGGGGCAATTGGGGCGGGGGGGGGGGGAGAATAGCAATGGTTTTCTTTTCTTTTTTGTCTTTTTAAATGAGCACAACTCCCCCCCTTCCCTCTTCACAAATCTACTTGAGAAGTGTGTCGGTATTTAATTTACATATTTATTTAATCGTTTCTACCAGGGGTAGAATCAGGGAGCATCCAGCGATGTCCAGCCATTGTACAGTCTTTCCCCAATTGTTCTGCATTTTGCATGCTTCCCCCTTCCCACCCCTCCCAAATCAGCAAAACGACCCCTTTCTCTTTATAATGGCACAGTAAAACAAAAAGAAAAAAAAGAAAAGAAACATCGGAAATGTAAACATGATCTTCCCCTGATGGATTTTTTGCTTGCCATCCCTACCCCACCCCCCCCTTTTTTAAAGTTGTAACTCTTCACAACAGAACCTGACTTTGAAATGAAAATGAGTTTTTTTAAAAAAACAAAACCAAACCAGAAAGACAACTGCAGTCTATATTTACAGACATATGTACAATATCAATAAATTAAATTTTAATTTCGAGTATTCATAGGCCAGGTATTTACAAGTCATCCATTAATTACATAAATACTTTATCAATAGTGTCCACTGTTGCCGTTGGGTTTTTTTTTTTTTCCCTTCTCCTTATTACATTTATAAACCTTGTTATTGCATATACAGCGAAAGGGGAAAAAAAGTATTGAAAACAAAACTAGGAAACTGAGATGGGGGGCATCATTTTAAAACAAACCAGCAAAATTATAATGCTCCCCTTCTAACTACATTTTCAACTGCTCCTATCAGAAAAAGAAACCAAAAAATGTAAAGAAATATGTATACATATATATATATATGTATATATGCATGTATCAGAATACATACACACACATAAATGTATGTGTAAAGCTATACATACATACATATATACACACACATACATATTTATATATGTATTATATGTGTGTGTGTGTATGTATGTATGAGTGCATATATATATACATACATACACACACACACACATGTATGTATATGTATACACACATATACACACATAAGTACATACATACACATACATTTATATATGTATTATATATGTGTGTATGTATGTATCTGTATACACACATGTATGTATATGTATACACACACACACACATACATATACACACATAAGTACATACATACACACATATATATGCACATATTTAATGCTCTGGGGACCTTAAGCAAGCATTTATGGAGTCGAGGATTTCACAAAATAAAGAGATTTGGAACGAACCATGCAAAATTAAACGAACTATAGCCGCAGCCCCCCCCTTCCACGACCCTCCCCCCCAAAATATTAAAAGGATCGGCTTTTGTCCTTTTTTCCACCCTTTCAGCTTGATTTTCGAAGGAACTGCTATGCAAAAAAAAAAAAAAAGCAAATTCTCGGGGGGGGGGG